TTCATTGTAGAAGTGTGTGGTAAGGGAATACATACATTGGTAGACACAGGAAGTACACACAATTTTGTTCAGAAGGAGTTGGCTTTGGAGTTGGGTTTACCTATGGTTAGAGTGAAGAAAATGCGTGTTTTCCTTGGGAGTGGCGAATTCCTCACTTGTGATCACAAATGTCAGCAAATTCAGTTGCAGATACAAGGACACACTTTCTTAGTGGACTTCTGGGTGTTGGAGCTGTCCAAGGTGAGATTGATTTTGGGCATGAAGTGGCTCGAGTCCTTAGGGAAGGTGACTCACGATTATAAAAATTTCACAATGGAATTTGGTTGGAAGGGTCATACTGTGTTGCTGCAAGGAATATCAAATCAAGGAGACAAGTTAACAGCTGAAGTCTTTTACTTGGAATGCTGGTTTATGGCAGAAGAGCAACATCACACAGACTACGATATAGAGTTATTTCCTGAATTGTTAGCTATCAAATCCTCTGTCAACCCATTGTTGTGGGACATTTTAGTGGACAATCAAGCTGTGTTTTTAATCCCTAAGGAGCTGCCACCCTTTCGAAATATGGATCATGCCATCCATTTAGAACACGGGTCTAAGCCAGTTAATGTTAGACCATATAGGTATGGCCACCACCAGAAGGAAGAAATAGAGAAACAAGTAGATGCTTTGTTGTCCTCAGGTTTCATCCAACACAGTAACAGTCCTTATTCCTCTCCAGTGTTGCTGGTCAAGAAGCAAGACAATACTTGGAGAATGTGTGTGGATTATCGAGCTCTCAATAAACTCACCATTCGAGATAGGTTTCCAATGCCTACTATAGATGAGCTAATGGATGAGTTAGGTGGCTCAACAATTTTTTCGAAATTGGATCTCAGAGCAGGATACCATCAAATAAGGGTGCTGCCAAATGACATTCCAAAAACAGCATTTAGAACTCATGAAAGACACTATGAGTTCCTAGTCATGCTGTTTGGGTTGACGAATGCACCAAGCACGTTTCAAGCTGTCATGAATCAGCTATTTCGTCCCTATCTTCGCAGGTTTATCATTGTATTTTTCGATGATATCCTAGTCTACAACTCCTCTTTATCAGATCATGCTCAGCACCTAGGAATCACACTGCAGTGTTTGAGACAGCATAAGTTCTTTGTTAAAATGAGCAAGTGTGCATTTGGAGTAGAAGAGATTGAGTATTTGGGGCATAGAGTGTCTCGGTTGGGGGTACAGGCAGATTCCAAGAAGATTGAAGCAATGGTGACATGGCCATGTCCTAAATCCGTGAAGCAGCTTAGAGGTTTCCTCGGTTTAACAGGTTATTATCGTCGTTTTGTAAGACAATATGCTACACTAGCTGCCCCATTAACCGATTTATTGAAGCATGGAGCTTTCAAATGGTCTGCGGCAGCACAATTGGCTTTTGACCAATTGAAACTGGCTATGTCCAGCACTCCTATCTTGACTTTACCAGATTTTCAGGTACCTTTTGTTTTGGAAACTGATGCATCCAACACGGGCATTGGAGCAGTGCTTCTGCAACAACAGAAACCAGTGGCTTTTTTCAGCAAAAGACTTGGTCCAAGGTTAGCTGCAGCTTCCACATATGTTAAGGAGTTATATGCGATAGCAGAAGCAGTGAAGAGAAGGAGATAGTACCTATTGGGAGTGCACTTTACAATCAAAACTAATCACAGGAGCATAAAGGAACTTTTAGGACAAACGATTCAAACGTTAGAGCAGCAGAAATACGTGTGTAAGCTGATGGGATACTCTATTACTATAGAATACAAACCAGGTAAGTTGAATGTCATTGCTGATGGTCTTTCTCGATGCCATGAGGATGTGGAAGATGCGTCTGTTCATGCAATGGTGGTGGAACCAAGGTTTGAGTTGCTCGATCAAATTAAAAATGAAAATGAGACAGATCCATATTTGTTATCCATACATCAGAAGCTACAATCTGACTCCAATGTTGTTCCTCTTGTTTCGGTAAGGGATGGAATTTTATTTCACAAGCAAAGGTTCTTACTCAGCTCTACATCTCCAATCCGATCAGTGGTGTTAAGGGAAGCTCATGATTCTTTAGTAGGTGGACATGCTGGAGTGCTTCGCTCCTTGCTTCGGGTAGCTGCATCTTTTTATTGGGACACCATGCGTAAGGATGTTAAAGAATATGTTAAAGCTTGTCAACTTTGTCAACAGATGAAAACTATGACACAAGCTCCATTTGGTTTATTACAACCATTGCCCATACCTGAAGGTGTTTTTGAAGAGCTGACTTTGGATTTTATTGTAGGATTACCACTCTCACATGGATTCACAACGATTTTGGTTGTTGTTGATAGGTTGAGTAAGTATGCTTACTTTGGTACTCTTCCCACATCATTTACTGCTGCAAAGGTGGCCACGTTATTTTGTGATCTAGTAGTCCGAAACCATGGTTTTCCAAGGTCTTTAATATCGGACAGAGACAGGATTTTTTTGAGCAATTTTTGGTCAGCCATTTTCAAGAATAGTGGAACCATGTTAAAGGCAAGCACAACCTACCACCCACAAACAGATGGTCAAACAGAGGTGACTAACAGGTATGTAGAACAATATTTGAGGCTTTTTTGCAATGATAAACCGCAAGAGTGGTCAAGGCTGTTAGGATGGGCACAATTGCATTATAATACAGCAGTGCATTCTGCCATTGGGATGTCCCCATTCCAGGCTGTTTATGGAAGCCTCCTTCCCACATTCCTTTTTATCCAAAAGGTCTCATTAAAATTGAAGCTGTAGATACTTTGCTTCAACAACGAAATGCAGTGTTGCAGAATTTGAAAAGGAACCTGCAGCAAGCAAGAAACAGAATGAAAACACAAGCTGATAAGCATAGATGTGACAGGGTGTTTGAAGTAGGTGATTTCGTTTGGGTTAAGCTCCAACCATACAGGCAGGTATCAGTAGAGCGTCGTTGCAATCATAAGCTGGCCAAGAAATTTTTTGGTCCATTTAAAATCATTAAAGTGGTTAGTCTCGTAGCTTACCAACTGGAATTGCCCGAAGGTTGTAAAATCCACTCTACTTTTCACATCTCCTTGTTGAAGCCTTGGTTTGGACCACCACCAGAGAAGCCTGTTTTTGTGCCTTAATTTGTGGTAGATAATCGACCACTCCAGTCACCGATTGCCATATTAGACAGCAGAATGACCAAGGTGGGCCATCAGGAAAAACGTGAATATTTTGGTGCAATGGTCTAATGCTCTTCCAGAAGATGCTTCTTGGGAGAGGGAGGAGTTCATGCGCAGTGCTTATCCTACCCTGAACCTTGAGGACAAGGTTGTGGTTGAGGAGGGGAGGTATGTTAGAGAAAGGGAGTCCACAGCAAGCAGAACCTGTAGACCAAGAGTCCCTTCTTCGAAGCTGAGAGACTTCTATTGTTAGAAGATATGCTATTAATGGATATAGGAGAGGATGTGTTGTAAATAGGCATAGGAGAATATGACATTTGTATTACACGTGGCATATAGGAATAGTGAAGGGTACAGGTGTTGAATAAATACCAGAATTGTAAACTGATTCATTCATTCAATAAAAATATAGTTTCCTTGTTCGTATTCATTCCCAAAGTTCGCTCTCTCTGAGTTAGGGAGATCTAACACATGGGCATCATGCAAACTTACTTTTAGGTGGTGTTTGGTAGAAGTTAAAATTTATGTTCACCGGGGAAATGTAATTACCAGGGATCTATAGGAAAAGAGAATTAGATAGAAAAGTTAAAAAAAAGTTGTTTGGTTGGACCAAATATTACCAGGCAAATTGATTAAAGTTTTTGAAACATATGTTTGGTTGAAGATAAAATATCAATGAGTAAATGAGATATAATTACAAATATAATCCCATAATAATATCATAATATTAATACATGAGGGTATTATGGTCTGTTTGGATTGTTCTCAACTTCATTTAGCTGGCTAAGTATGAAACATCACCTCCAACTTGTCTTTCGTAACAGTGCTCATTGCTTGCTTTCTTCGACCAAATGTTGATTGCTATGCAAATATAATAGACGGAGAAATTGAAAGAAACGGTCTATCAAACATGGGTGTCTAACTTTCCCAATTTTATTTGCATAGCCAAATTTTAAGAAACTCTGACACCACCTTAGTTTCCGTGCCCATTTATTCCGAGAGTAAGAAGTAGTAGAAGTTATATAATTCTTCAGATATCATAAGTTTTTCCCCCAGTATTTTAAAAAGCATAAACAATATGGAAAAATTTGATAAAATATAAGAAAATACTGATTCAGTAATATATAGTGACATCATGTAGATATTATCCAAAAGCAATTAAGGGATCTTCATAACATCAATAATTCAAATTCTAAAAAGAAAAAGAAAATCCTTGTGAGAAATTAAACACTTATCATGCGAACATTTTGTGTTTATGTAAGTATTCATGTGTTTGAATAAAAAAATAAACATATATGTGAACTTTTATTATATTAACATCTTATTATCGATATTTGCTAATGGTTCTGGCTTCATCAATTTTGCTTCTATATTGTTTCAGAAAATATTAAACTATTTATCCAAAAAATAAATAAATATTAACCTATATTAAATTGGGAAAAAATTTACAATTATCGGTGATGTGTATAGCGTAAAACTCAATTAATTCAAGAGAGAAATATTTAGTTTAACATTTATTTTGACCATAGTTGGGAACTTGGGATAATATCATCTAAAACCCTAAGTCACGAACCACTAGCCCAGTTGAAAGTAACCTCTAATGCAACCTGAGCCACAACTTTGAGCCTTCCCTGGCCCACCAAGCCCACTTATTGAAACTGCCAACCAATGAGGATTCAGCATTTGATAGACTCTCTCAGAGCCACTACTTTGGACAAGCACCCTTACACGTGTCAATCATGCTGGTTTCTCCGCCACTTGTGAACCACTCACGTGACGTCACGTGCACCCTATCACTCCCGTTACCGTTTTGCTGAAACCCGAAGCTTCTTCCGCTCGTCCTCTATCTTAAGCTTGCACTGCATGCACGTTGAGTGAGTCCTTCTCTGCGACGACGTCGTTTCTGCTAGATTTCATGGTGTGTTGTAGTTGTTGTGCTGATTTTCTCTGTGAAATCTTTTGAGGATTTATCGGCTATGAGTGAAGTAATTCATGGTTTCGCTTTAACAATTTCTGTGCTGCGTATGTAAGAAATGTTTGATTGGAACGACGAAGAGGTTTGTCAATTTTCACTATTATTCCCATTTATTATTATTAGATCGCAGTTATTATATATATATATATATATATATATATATATATATATATATATATATATATTATGCTGCTTAGGTTTATAATCCCATATATTACTTCACAGATTGAAATGCTTCATATAAAGTGGCAGAGTTTTTTCATATCTGGTATGGTTGAAATCCAGTTTCAAATTGAGTTTTTGATACTCATGGTAATAAAATTGTGATTTTCCCTAGTGTTTTAGTAATTTTTTTTTTCTTATATTAATTTTATCGAAACACCCTTCATTAATTGAATATGTTTCGGTGACTTATCTCCGGTAACCGGATAAATACTTTATCCTTCAAAAATAAGTGAACATGTCTTTCATTAACTTCAAGGGCTGTCTGATCTTTTAGTTATAAAAGTTATGTGACACCTGATTACAGAGCTGCCATAGCACTCAGTTGTGTTTATGAATGTTCTTACTGCTAGTATCTGAAGTGCTTTATTTTTCTTGTTGGATTTACCTCATCAATATTTATCATATGTTTAACAATTGATTGTTCTCAGCTTGGGAACCTAATATGGGGTGAGACGGGTGAGAGTGATGATCATATTGTGCCTTACTGGGACAAAAGTAAAGATCTTCACAACAAGAAAGAATTGAATCAGGAAGCTTCTGACCTTAAACACATTGAGCAGAAAAGAATAGAGGCTAAAACTGATGTTCATGGAAGAAAGCTAGTAAGCAGTTCCAAAATTGATAATCATGCAGGACTATCTGCCTCAGGACATGGAACAAACTCATGGACTGACTCATCTGATCAGGGTTCCCTAGGTACTGAAGTATCTAAAATTTTTGGTGAATTAGCGAATTCAGTTCCGCACGAATTGATGAAATTGCGTGAGATTTAGTTATAGTTCATCGTTTCTAATTACATGTATCTTTAACAGAAAAGGATGTAGAAATTTTCCAAAGTGCACATGAAGATAAAGAGCAAGGTGATTTTGTTGACCATGCCTGGGTTAACATAGGAAGTTTTGATGACCTTGATCGAATTTTCAGGTAAAGTATATTATATCTATTGTTTTGTATGTGCTACGCTCATTTTCTGAGGTCATTGTAACTCAAGTCTAATTTGACATTTTTTGAACTTGACTAGTATCCATAATGGACGAAACTTCTTCTTTTCTCTTATTCTCTTTTTGAGAATTTATGCAATGGCTCACACATCGCTCAATCTGAGTTTAAATATGCCCTTAAACTTGTTTCTGTCAAACTCTGATGGAGCAATGTGTGCAGATGAACATCTTGGGCTCTTAACTCATTAAACTTGGAACAAACACTTCATGTTGCCAACTTTTGATTGTTTATAGCTATTTCATTATTCCTTGGATTAATTATTATTTGCACATGATGAATAACATTGAACAGATGTACTAATATTCCTGATTAACACTGAATATTTATTGTCCTACTTTTGTCCTTACAGGTTTTAGTTTTGTGAACTTTTATTGCTTACAATGGTATCCATCTGACTGAATATTCTCACAAGTGGTGATTTTGCAGCAATGATGACCCTATATTTGGCCATGTAAGTCTTGAGAGTTCTGATGAGCTGTGGTCTTCCAAAGATGTAAGTGACAGTCCAGTAACCATACTCTTGGAGGCACCAAGTCCAGCAAGTGCTTTAAGGAACAGAACTGAGCCTTTGGAAGTTAAAGCAGAATATGTTCAACGTAATGATCAATCATTTTCATTCAGCTTCAAGAGAATTGGTGATTCCTCATCTCATGATACGCAAAATGCTCATGCGACCACAGTAAGTGCAGGATATGCTAGAGGTAGAAGTATCCCTACTGAAAAGGAGCAGCAGGTATGTCAAATCATTTTGCAGAATGACCAGTGATGTAAAACAGAAACAAAGAACCAAGAAACAATCTCAAAATAATGCGTTATATGGGCTACTCAAAGACCCAAAATCTGCCAAGACCAGCAAGTTAAGCAATCCAAACTAAAGACTCAAGTCTCAAGTAATCCTAATCTAGGATAGGAAACAAAGCTATAATCCAACTTGGGATAAGATATCCCAAGACCCAGAAAAATAAATCCTAAATTCCAAAATAATTGATAATTAATTCCTAAATCCACAGTTTCACACCCTAAGTCACAATTTAAATTACATTATAAACTAAGATAATCATGAAATTATCTTGTCATCCTTCATTAACAAGTTTCAATACTATCTATTTTTTTACTTGTTACATAATAGACCAATCAAATTACTTGATTCTTTTTTTTTTTTCCAACAAACTAATCAGGATATGGTAGGAATGACCACTTCTGTGACCTCAGCTTTAGCTGCTGACAATGTTGCAACTGCAAATGGACTTACTGATAAGGTATACCTCAAATTATTTTAGAAACATATAATGCTAGTATCTGATAGTTGTTTCCTGGTTTGATTTATGTTGCTGGCCCCACTTAGAGGAAAAAATTGTGGTTGTTGTTTGTTGTTTTTGGTATCTAATTTATGAACTAATTAATTTTCTCTTAGGCTTTGTTTGGGTAAAGTATTTGAAGTGTGGAGTGTATATTTTGGGACATTTAATAATAACTAATAGCTAATGAGGGTTTGCTCAACTAGTAGGATGAAACTTCATTGAGAGAGGTCTTAGGTTCAATTCCTATTGGTAGTCCTTAGTTAATAGCTCATCTCTAAGCATATATTAAGACTTGTGGCATATTTGATCTTCTAACGGAGCAACTTCCCCAGCACCTAGACTTTTTTATACAAAAACAAAAAACAAATTTGTTGCTTAAATGAAGAAATTCAGAAATACTGAATATTATTTTTGTAAGAAATACTGTACATTGGTGCAGTCTATTTATATAGACCTAACTAGACAATTACTTGCCTAAAATAATAACCATTCTATAAAAACATAATATTTACAATAATTACAATACTGTGAATATTATATGATAAGGAATAATAAAAGATGCTGGACTATTACTACAATACTTTCTACTAAAATACTCTGTTTGGATATTTGATAAAGAGATATTAAAAATACTCTGCTATTTTGATTAAGTATTTTTAGCTTAAATTTTTTAATTTAGGAATCTGAGTTAAACCTAAACCAGTGGAATTTCTGGAATTCCTTCTACTTAGTCAACCCGGATGGTTATTTTCTCACTTCGATGATTCTTTTTAGAGATTTATACTTCTCATGTTACATGAGATGAGCCTTCTTATGCCATAGAGACAAAAAATATGTGGGACCCATATGTTAGAAAAAGTCATGGGTGGGACCCATGTTAGCATGGAAATCGAAGGGTGTGTAGGAAAATTTCCCTTTTATTTACTCTCCTTTCTCTGCTCGCTTCTCAACGTTTCTCATTGGCATGCTCAACCATGGAAGAAAGTCATTCTGTCGGATCCACAGAACCTTGCTGGTTGAATGGCTCAAGTTCTTGGGTAAGTTAAAGGGATGGTAACTACAGAACTGGATGATATTCTTCAATGACAAAGATGATCAGTTCACGTTTGATCTCTGGACATTTCATTATTGTAAATAATTAGTTTTATGGATGTATATCTACTGTGTTCTCTGCTAATGTGTTTGGACAATGCCATCTGTTTGTGCTTGACTTCAAAGATTTGGTTGCTGAAGCACTTGACAATGTTTGATGTATAAAGTTCAATGCTGCAGTTGTGCTTTGGTCTTACATTTGAAGAAAAAGGTGCCGGGCACTGGTTTGGTCTCAGTTGATGTATGGAGTATGAACTTTGGATCACATGCCTATTTTTGATTTTTCAATTAGTCTTGTACTACTGCTTTGTAATCCTTGACCCTAGACCAGTGGACTGTTGCTACTAGCTTTGCTAGATACCTAAGCCATCTATAACCTTTCCTTCACCACTTCGTCTGCTTCTTTCATAGGTAGCATAAGGCTTTATTTATTGTGCTTTTTGTTTTAAGAGGTATCCTCAACTTTTGTATCCTGTTTGATAAGATTTTCAAAGGTATCTTATCTTTTGGCATAATTATGTGCTGTCTCTGGTGCAAGATTTATATTTATCTTTATCCTTCTCAAAGTCAACAAATTATTTGATCTTTTTGTTGTTATTATATAGGCTTTTGGGAAAAAGAATCAGTTGAAAGCTCGGAAAAAATCACAGGGTAAACCAAAGGGGAAAGTATTGCAGGATTTTTATGTTAATTGGTCTCCAACAACCCCATCGGGACAATTTGGTAATCAGTTGGCACCTTCTGTCATGCAGTCTTATCCCTCTTCAATTCTCGGGCTACAAAAGCAGCTTCAAGGACCTGAAACAGTATACCAGAACATCACGGATACACAGGTGGCATCTTCTGTGTATGGGAATATTACTAATATGTATCCTGCAATGTCAATGCTACCACAGGCTCAGTCTGGAGTTCTTAGGCAACGGCCTCTGTTTTCTGGGTATGAAGTGTCTCCTGGTATAGTGTCTCCTGTCAACAAGTCTGCGGGCTCAGTCAGGCCTCTCACCATGACTCCTCAGGAAAAAATTGAAAAATTGAGGCGGCGGCAGCAAATGCGGGCAATTCTTGCTATTCAGAAGCAACAGCAAAAATTAAGCCATCAAGTTCCTGGCACTAACAAATCGATGACTCAAAACTGTGCCCTAGAAATGCAAAGTCATCATTGTGATGGGGCTGATCCGGAAATTGAAGATTTAAGAACTCTTCCTGCTATAGATCCTCCAACCAAATGTGATGATTCTAATACAATCTCCATGGCAATTGATGATCATTTTGTTGAAGACACCATACCATACATGCTTCAGGATATAATATCAAAGGTGCGGTTGAGCTGATAATGGTATAAGCTATGTTGTATAGTTTTTTCTTTTTATACTAATTCAGATATAGCTACCCAATCCTGAGCCGAACTTTTTCTACAGATAGATGTCAAAATAAGACTCTGCATTAGAGATAGCTTGTTCCGGTTGGCACAAAGTGCAATGCAAAGGCATGATGCTAGTGATTCAAGCAGTACAAACAGAAGTAGCAGAGAAGAATTTGAAGTTATTGCAAGAGAAGAAAGCAATAGCCAAAACAGGTTTGGAAAGCTATTACAATTCACAGCAACTTTAATTTCTGTGACTTGTTAATTTTGCGTTCAACAGTCAAAGCACTTAATAATTTCACTATCATTCTTTCATCATTTCTGATGGACAAAATTGATTGTTTTGAGTGTTTAAATTTTAGTGTGTATGTTTTTGGGTGTCTATATTGTGTGTTTATAATCTATGACTGTTTAGGCACCTTACTTACAGGTAGCAGTTTTCAGCTCAACCTTCAACATGATTCAAAATGGATGATATGTAATAGAGTTAAGGTTTACTATTAAATAATTTGAGGTTAATAATGGCCTTGTTTGAAACTACTATGAATTAACTTGTTGTAAAGTACGAAGAGATTTGGAAAAGCTGTAACCAATGGGGGTGCAGGTCTCAATATTTATATTCAATGAATTAAGCTAGTAGTAAAATGTCGTGCAATATAGTAAGAGGTCATAAATACCCAAAGCACACTAATCACTTGTATTATACACTTCATTCTCAATACTCTCCTTCAAGCTGGGTCATAGATATTAATCATGCCCAACTATTTACAAAAGTGGATACAAGTTGTGAAGATGTCAGCTATCTGTTATCTAGTTCTAACATGTTGAGTGGGTACAAGTCGTTGCTCAATCTTTTCCTAAATAAAGTGGCAGTTTATTTCTCAGTGTTTCGTTCTTTCATTAATTCTTTCATGAAACACTGGCAATGTGAATCACAACTTGATTATACACCAAAGTTACACGGGTAGAAGGTCCTTGAACCTAACCTCGAGCACACAGTGCATCCATATTAACTCACAAGAAGTTTGGGCCATTGCCTAATATTCAGACTCGGCTTGATTTTGGTGTTATATATTGTTTCTTGCTTTTCCAAGACATCAAATTTCCTCCAAGGAATGCACAATAACTGGAGATCCAACTTTGCTTGCTTCAGAATAACCTTGTTCTTTGTTGTGTCCACTGTCTTTATATAAAGAATCCCCAAGACCTGGAGCTCTTTTCAAATATCACAAAATATGCAAATCTGCATCCCAATGAGAACTTCAGGGAGATGACATGAACTAACTGACAAAACTTACCAGGAAAGAAATGTGTGGACATGTCATAGAAGATAGTTAAGCTTACCAGCTAACCTCTGAACCTAATAGTAATTCAGCCATCATCTGGAGTGAGTTTCACATTTGGAATCTGTTGGTGATCATTTCATGATTTTCACCAATCAAACAGCCTGATTTTTAGGAACAAAAGGTTCCTGACTTAAGGCTGATTTTTTTCAATAGACTCTGTTTTTATGTATAGCTAGGTATAGGTATTAGCTCCTATGTTTTACTGTACAACCTCTACCCTAATTCCCTATTCAAGTTTGTAATCAACAATAAGGGAAATACAATATATATATATATATGCTGTCTGTTGTGTAGTGTGCAAATAAACAACCAGTTACTCACGCAAGCGCATGTCTCATGAACAAGGAGTTGAAGACAAGAAAAAATATCATCCCATAGAGAAAATTAACAAATGATGTTAAATGCAAAGTTAACTAGTGGTTGTTTAGAAAAAATCAATTGTAAACAAGTTAAATATATGATTAATTAGAGATTGATCAAGTAAAACAGTAAACAAGGCACAAACAATACATAAAAACAAGGTTTGCTATAGTGATTAAATATATGATTACTATTGCTGTATTGTCGCCACAATACTCGAGGAAATTCTATAACAATTTGAATCAGCTAACCAGAATCCAACAAGTATGCAAGTGTTTCCCTACTAACTCACATGTAATGCCCCTGAATCCTTCTCTATCATTCCTATGCAGGATCTAAGTTCAGAAACCGGTTAAGCACAAGATCCAAACAATTATGTGATGTAAATCTCTAATACTCCGATAGCCATGTGCAGTGGAGTTTGGATAATATTTGGTTATTTTATTTTTTTATTTTTTTGTGTCATTTGTAACAAGCTTAAAGCTTAGTAAGCTTTGGCTCGAGGAGGAGTATTAGAAGATTTAGAAGATATCGTATAAATATAAAAATATATCTTAAAATGGTTTAAAAATTACATGCTGTTCAAAGATGCCCATTGTCTAGGCTTCACTTAAATAACAGCTAATGAACTACGCGAAGTAAGTAGCTGGTTTAAAAACTGCTATCTACTTATGACATTAAATGGGGTTCCTTCCTAGTTAACCATGTTAGAGATAACTGTACTGTCCCCACTAAAAGCATGTTTATGTTGCAAAGGCAATCACCAATTGGCTTTTCGGTTATGCAATATCGTGATTAGTCTTTTGAGATGCTAACTTATTCTCCCCTTGTGAACCATATCACAGATATGCTAGGATTCCTGATGTTGAAACCGATACAAATTCCATTGATCGAACCGTGGCTCATTTACTCTTTCGTAGGCCGTTGGAGTTAACCGGGAATTATTCGGACAAACTGGACTCACCAATTTCTTCTAAGATGCAATGTGAAAGCAAAGCAGCAAACCTGGAGAACTTTCCTACGGGGTGCTTACCAGATGAGGATTTGAAAAGTAGTCAACAATTTTCTCATCAAGAGCTAAAGAATTCTTGCTTCTTGTTTGAGGCCCAGCATATGGATCAATGTAAAAACTGTATTGGCATAGACACATCGGATAATGCTTCTAACAATGAGACTGCTGATGTTGGAGATCAGGAGGTTGAAGCCTCTCAATGAAGAAAAGGTTCTCCAGGAGTCGGAGGGTAATTCCTTCCTTTATTATAACCGTAGTTATTGCTTTGCTTTCCTCATTCAATTATATATGGATTTACTGGTAATGCAAATGTTTTCTGTTATTGTCAGCTGCCTGGATCATAATCAAGGCAAGTGTCTATCATCAAGAATCCCGGACAACAATTTCATGCTTGCTATGTTATCGATAATATATATGTTTCTTATGTTTAAAATCTTGATATTATGCATCTTAGTATTTGAACTTACTCAAGCTGCTTAGTTGGTTTCCTCTGTATTGTCTGTTTAGTTGATATTGACTCTTAATATTAGCTTGTGCTTTTTAATTAGGATGTTGTAAGTTCCAGGTGTCAGCCCAAAATGATGATCATGTCCAACCAATACAAAAAAAAGATAGTGGTAATAGCAATGTTATAAAAACCAACTCCACTCGGCCGTTCGACTAGTTGACCTGTAAATTGGATTCTCAACTAGTTTGGTTTAGGTATTGAATTGGTTATGTATTTGGTCTGGTATGAAAGCGGTGAACTGGTTTTGAACCGGGTTTAATTGGTATTAAATCGGCACCAATTTTTTTTTTTAAAAAATTGATTTTGTTGAATTCTTGACAAAATGCTGCAAAAATATCACTAATGATATTTGAATCTAAATCATGTGGATAATATTTTATAGCACTCACCACTAATCTAACTCTAATTATTTGTTAAAATATTTCTAATTTTATATTTATTATATCTTATTATATATATTTAATTCATGAAGTTAAATAAGTAATCAAGTGGTTGAACCGATGATTCATTAACTCAGTATTTTGATTGAGTCGATGATCGGTTCGAGTTTGATAACAATAGTTAATATAGTTAGGGGAAAAAAATAATGATTGATGCACTCACTTTTTTGGCTCACATCTGCTGAGGTGTTGAAATTAGAGAATGAGTGTGTAAAATACCAGATAAACCAATCATAATTAGATGTAGAAAACTGTGCATATGTTAGTAAGAATTTTTAGTGTATTCAGCTACATTCAACAACAGGCTACTGTGACCATAGCTTCCAATTTCTTAAAATAAAAACTTTCAAACGCTTTCTGACTAATCTCCAAAAAAAAAATAAAAAAAATTAATACACATCAGATATTTTTTATTTGAGGAAAAATACCTCTAGGTAGGCCTTTTGTCCAACACTCCTGCATCATCGCTAGATGAACTTGAAATGAGGCCCTATAACACGGGGTAAGATATATGAATATATCTCAATAAATCAATGGTCCTGGAGAATCGCTTCGCCCAATTGCCCACTTAGATTTGCAACAATAATGATACATATATAATAAGACATGAATAACAATATGGCAATATGACAATCTCAATCGGGTCCACATCTAAGAATATATCCCCGAGATATAATTCAAGGCACCCATCTTATAACTTCCGAGACATTCTTAGAGTGTCCCTCAACGGATAATGACTCTATGGCATCCGGCCAACTGGAACTCCCTACGGAGGCCTCTCTAGTGGAAGTCGCCTAAGGAAAATACGACAATAATCTATCGGTCAAAGATACAGGTATAATCCAACATACACCAAACAACATGTCAACATGTATGATCCTATTATAACAGATATCATTACAATCAACAACTTCTGACCACTACCCCATTGGGCATAGTGGAGCACACACGGGGATTAACCCTAGTACCAATGGATTACCTGTTAGAAGTTCCCAAGCTAGGTAGTTTCAACTATAAGTTACTTCGCACTTTAACTTTTAACAAAGAAATGTGTTGTAAATAATAATTATTTAGTTATTATTTAGTCATTTATTTGTTGTATTGGGCCAAGCCCATTAGGTCAAAATTAGGTCAAGTATTATCTATAAATAGAGAACCCTTTGTACAGATTATTTACAATTCAATAATATTTCAAGTACCCTTTTATTTCAAGTTGGTATCAGAGCTCTCGATCCTGAAGACTCTGCTTCCGCGCCTATTGTCTTTAGAACAAGAACCTTTTATTCTTTTTGTCTCTCCCTGCCATCAGCCGCCACCGGATTTTTTCCGGGGACCTCTTGGACCGAGAAGATCTCTGTTATACTGGATCTCCGTTACTGTTCATCGTCTCCATTATTCTTCATCACAAGACATCATCTGTTCATCACGATTGGACCCTTTCCTGGTGGTTTTTCAACTCCGAACAAACCCAGAAAGAACCGCACTCACCGGACGACGTTGCTCCAGAAATTTCAGACCGGACGGCCACCGCACGCGCCCACACACGCCGCCCCTTCAACCGCCAGTGAAGCCCACGTGCAGCCAATCTCACCGGCGCGTGGCGGCGCGTGAGACCATTTTTCCGGATCGGACCATCGCGATCTTGATCGTCCCTTCATCCTCTTTCTGGATCTGTGCTCCTCTCTTTGATCGGACATCGTTTGGTATTTATTTGTGATTTTTTGGCTTCTTGGAGTTTTTCTTTGACCATTTTCTGTGCAGTATGGCCTCTTCTCAAAGGAGTTCTTTTTCAAAATTTTATGATGGTACCTCTTCTAGACCTAAGAGAGATGATCGATGGTGTTCTTATTGTAAAAGAACAGGTCATATCAAGGATTTATGCTTTCGCCTTTATGGAAAGCAAACTGTCTTAGAAAAGATGGCAAGGTTGCGTGGTCAAGCGCATTTTACTTCCTCTGAAATAACTCCTACACCTAATAAGACCCAACCTGCATTTCGTCCAGATGAGTTGGAACGGCTCCGAACCATTCTTGATTATATGAGTAAGCCATCTGATACTAGTGCTTTGACTATGACTGGTATGAGCTCCAAAACTTATTATTTCCTTTCTTCATGTAATGATTTTAAACATTCTTGAGTTGTTGATTCTGGTGCTACTGATCATATGGCTTGTTGTGCTGACTCCTTTACTTCTTATCATCCTACCATTGGAACTCATACAATAGCCGTAGTTGATGGCTCTCATACATCAGTTGCGGGTTTTGGTGACATAAACTTACAGCAGTCCTTACATCCTAAGGATGTTCTTCATGTTCCTAAACTCTCCACGAATCTTCTTTCTATTCATAAAATTACAAAAGATTTGAATTGTACTGTAACCTTCTATCCTACCCATTGTGTTTTTCAGGATCTCGCCACGGGGAAGACGATTGGTAGTGCTAAAGAGCAAGGTGGGCTGTACTATCTGGTGTCACAATCTCCTGCAAATAAAGTAACAGATCACATCTTGATGTCTCATGGTCAATCAACTGCTGATTCTTTGATTTGGCTTCATCATAAGCGCTTAGGTCATCCTCCATTTAGTTTACTTAAATCTTTATTTCCGTCATTGTTTTTGTCTAAATCTGTTGAGTCTTTTCATTGTGATGTTTGTGAATTTGCTAAGCATCATCGTGTGTCTTTTCCTTCTAGTATTACTAAGAGTGTTGAACCTTTTGATCTTATTCATTCTGATGTTTGAGGTCCCTCTAAAGTCCTTCATGCTTCTGGAAATAGATGGTTTGTTTCTTTTATTGATGATTGCACTCGTGTAACTTGGGTGTACTTAATGCGTGAAAAGTATGAGGTACCACAACTGTTCTTTCAATTTTATAAAATGATTGAGACTCAGTTTGGTAAAAAAATCAAGAGACTAAGAACAGATAATTGTACTGAATATGTTAATCACAGCTTTTCCCAATTTATAAGAAATAACGGTATGATTCATGAACTTACTTGTGTTGACACCCCCCAACAGAATGGGGTTGCTGAAAGAAAAAATCGTCACCTTCTTGAAGTGGCTCGTGCATTAATGTTTCAGACACATGTACCCAAATACTATTGGGGAGATGCTATTCTTACTGCAGCATTCTTGATCAACCGTTTACCCACTCGGGTACTTGACCATGTAAGTCCTATTCACTCTATGACTTCTTTTTTCCCTTATATTCCAATTATGATGAGTCTTCCTCCACGAGTGTTTGGGTGTGTTGCTTTTGTTCATGTTCATAAACATCATCGCAGTAAGTTGGACCCTAGGGCTATTAAATGTGTTTTTCTTGGTTATGTTCCTGATAAGAAGGGCTACAAGTGCTATCACCCTAGTAGTAGGAAATTTTTTGTTTCTATGGATGTTACATTTCAGGAATCTGAGTCCTTTTTCCAAGGTCCTCATCTTCAGGGGGAGAATCCTTCACCAGAAATCTCATCACCTCCCTTCTTTGAGTTTGAATCATCAGTGTCTACTCCTTTACCTATGTCAGTGTATCCTCCACCTGGTCCTGTTCTTCCTGTGTCTGATCCTCTTGTGAGTAATCCTCCTATGACTGATTCTCCTGAGATTGATACATCAAGTACACCAGAGATACGAAAGATTATGACACCTGAAAGAAGGAAACAGCCCACATTGTCTCAGCAGCAACCTCAATCGTCTGATCCACTGGTAAGTCCTGAATCTCATATTTCTGATAATGATGTTAATACTTCTGATGACTTACCCATTACTACTGATTCTGATGATTTACCCATTACTCTTAGAAAAGGAAAAAGAGCTTGTCCCAAGAAATCTTGTCCCTCATGTCCCTCTTGTACTCAATACCCTATCTCCCAGTTTGTTTCCTCTGCTAATCTTTCTGTGCAGCACAAAAGCTTTGTTTCAGCACTAGACTCTATTGCAATCCCAAAATTAGTACATGAAGCCTTGAAAGATAGGAATTGGGCTCAAGCCATGCAAGAGGAGATGAATGCTTTGGAGAAAAATAAAACATGGGAGGTTATTGATAGACCCAACGGAAAGAAAGTAGTAGGGTGCAAGTGGGTTTATGCCCTGAAATATAATTCTGATGGCACTCTTGAGAGATACAAGGCTCGATTAGTGGCCAAAGGTTACACTCAAACTTATGGCATTGATTATGAAGAAACCTTTGCTCCAGTTGCAAAGATGAATACAGTGAGAATCTTGTTATCCCTTGTTGCCCATTACAATTGGGATATAAATCAATTTGATGTGAAAAATGCTTTCCTCAATGGTGAGTTAGAAGAAGAAGTCTACATGGAAATCTCGCCTGGTTTTGATTCTGTGAAGGGGAAAAATAAAGTTTGTAGATTAAAAAAGGCCTTGTATGGATTGAAGCAGTCACCTCGTGCTTGGTTTGGAAGGTTTACTAAGGTTATGATGACCTTAGGATACAGACACAGTCAAGGAGATCACACTCTTTTCTTCAAGCACTCCCAAAATGGGAAGCTTACTGTGCTCCTTGTATATGTTGATGATATTATTATCACAGGTGATGATTTTGTGGAGAGACAGATTCTGCAAACACGGCTTGCCTCTGAGTTTGAAATCAAAGACCTAGGGAAACTGAGATATTTCCTAGGGATAGAAGTAGCTCATTCAAGCAAAGGAATTTTTATCAGCCAGAGGAAATATGTCTTGGATCTTCTCAAAGAAGTAGGAAAGCTCGAGTGTAAACCCTCTAATACTCCTATTGAGCAGAATCACAAGATGGGCTATGAAGAAGAGAGTCCTCCAGTTGATAAAGGACAATATCAACGGCTAGTTGGGAAATTGATATATCTGGCCCATACTAGACCAGACCTAGCTTATGCTGTTAGTGTTGTCAGTCAGTTTGTGCACGATCCAAAGGAAAAACACATGCAGGCAGTAGAGAGAATTCTTCAGTATCTTAAAGGTACTCTTGGTAAAGGATTGTTATTCTGACGTGATGGCAATCTATCTTTAGAAGTCTACACAGATGCTGATTATGCTGGATCCGTGACTGACCGTCGTTCTACCACTGGTTATTGCATGTTTCTTTGCGGTAACTTGGTGACATGGAGAAGTAAGAAACAAGATGTGGTTGCCAGATCAAGTGCAGAAGCTGAATTTCGAGCTATGGCTCAAGGCATTTGTGAGCTACTGTGGCTGAAAATTGTACTTGATGATCTCAAAATAAAATGTGAGGGACCTATGAAGCTGCTATGTGATAATAAGTCCGCTATTTGTATAGCTCATAATTCAGTTCAACATGATTGGACTAAACATATTGAGGTCGACCGCCATTTCATCAAAGAGAAACTTGATAGCGGGTTGATTACCACTCCATACATTCCCACTGGGCGTCAATTAGTTGATCTATTAACAAAGGGGCTTCCTTCAGACAGATTTCAAGAACTTACTAGCAAGCTGGGAATGATAAATATCTATTCCTCAGCTTGAGGGGGAGTGTTGTAAATAATAATTATTTAGTTATTATTTAGTCATTTATTTGTTGTATTGGGCCAAGCCCATTAGGTCAAAATTAGGTCAAGTATTCTCTATAAATAGAGAACCCTTTATACAGATTATTTACAATTCAATAATATTTTAAATACCCTTTAATTTCAAGTAAATGCCTACAACAAGTGGTCATTTTCACAATTATAATGTGCCACATGATAACTCAATTAGTTGTCCAATTAATCACATAATAAAGTAAGCTAATACTTACCACAATTCTTATGGTCAAGGACCAAAGGCAGTCCAAAAGAGCTTCAAGAGTCAGTTCTCTATGACCGTGTCCGAGGGAGGCAACCTACAATAATCACACACATATGATCATCAATTACTTCTCCAACAAGTCACAATAAGACAACACCACATCTCCCATATCTCTAACCCACGACCTAAGGGCCCAAAACATCATCCAATGTGTTTTAATTACAATCAATCATTCCAATGGCCACAACAACCTTCCTTAACACCCTTACAATCCTTATTTACCCTACATTACCATTTAGCACCATTTTCCCCAAAATTACCTACAACGGTCGATGATTATACATAAAGGATTCCAAGGAATTCCTCTTACTTTTCATGGTTCTAATTGTTCATTTAGGTGCATCCCTAATCAATTCAACCCTCATGCATCCGCTCATCAAGCTAACACACAAGCTTGCACCATTTTTCTCCAAAAAGTCATTCATGGCCATGGGGTACCCATCAAGGGAACTAGAGATTTTTCACTCAATTCACATGCATTTAACTCTTATTCAACCTCATTCTTAATGATCCAAACCATCCAAAATTCATTTACACTATTCCTCATTGACTTGTTTTACAATAAATCTATATTCATCCATCAAAATTTTACTAAGTTAAGAATTTCTAGATGCCTTAAAATTTTATTTGATTTTCCTACACAATTTATGAAGATGATCTTGCACGGTCCTCATGATAGACATGTGTTTGAAATGATTGTTTTCCACGGTTTGAGCGAAAGAATGTCCTCAGCTGAAACAATATTATTTGTTTCTCGATTAATATCGATGAAGCCTAGTGAGAAATCATTCATGAAAGTGTCCACCCAGTTCCTTGTTGCTATTGTGTTGCTCAGATTCAGCTGCTAATAAAAACAATTGTTAATTTTGTTGGTACCAGAAAGAACAGATTAGAAGTTTACATACATCACCATGATCATTTACCAAAATAATAATAAAAAGTAAGCAGCATGGGATTTTTTTTACCTTGCACCTTATTTTCTTCCCTGTTTGTTTAGAATCTTCAAATATCCTTGATTGGAACAATCTTTTGTTCTTCCATCTGTCCAATAGGTTTGATTAACAACCATGCAAGTTAACTTCTTCATTATTAATATATTAAAAAATAATTTAAGGGACTTTAGCAATACTAGTATTTTTCAATTTTCAGTTAAAAGGCATAGAATCCATTTTTGGGCAATAACCTTAATGGGTAAATTTAGTTTTAGCATTGAAATAAAATCTTAAATTCTCTATCATCCTCTTTGCATGTTTTGTGAAAAATGGAATTTACGTAAGCAAATCAAAGTTATGTGACTGTCTATTTGTTTTCCATTGAAAGTAACAGCCTTTACTGGGGAAAAAAATTAATTTAATGTTTTTTAATAAAAAAAATTACACATTTATTACACTTTTCTAAAAAAATTACACATATGCTGCACAATGTCACGCCCAAATTGGGCGTCACATGTGACGCACCATTTAGGCGTGACACCCTAACGGGTGATGCCTAATTTGGGCGTGACACAGTGGCCCTGATCCCTCCTTTGGGCGTGAATGGGTCAAAAAATTCTATATAATTCCGTACCACTTTAAGCATTCTTCGCATCTCTTCTCTACCATCAATTCTTACATCTTACAAACACAACTGTTATCTTTAAATTAGTATTTTTATTTTATTTCTTATTTTATTTAAGAATGAGTTCACATTCTAATTCTGTTCGTGTTGTTATATTACAATGGTAGGAAGGTAGAAGGTCGACGAGGTGTTATGTTTGAAGGTGAAAAAGGGCCGACATGTATCCAACGCAACGCCACCATTAGCGAACTGCATAAGAGAATTCAGCAAAAGTTAAGTCTTCAAGGTAACCAATGTATCACGTAGATCACGACAAGGTTATGGAAATTCGAACAATACATTAGTTTGCAAGTATTGGCGATGAAGACGTGGAGATGATAATGGAAGAATTTTTCAACCCGTCAAGGAAAGATTTTCTAGAGTTGTATGTCGACATCGCCGCATCGGAGGATGTTCCATTACCGGTGAGGTCAGTTGCTTTAAATTCTCCTCGTCTTCCATCAACATCTGCCGATCATGCTTCTCCAGTTGGTAACATTTCTGAGGGAGATGAAAATGATCGGACTTGGGAAATGCATGACGAAGACGACGATGATGATGAAAATATCGCGATGGAAGAACGTCTTCTAGCGGAGGATGCTAGTGCTTCAGAAGGAGATGAAGGTGGTAATATGGACGCGTCACAAATCCCAGTATACCATGAACCAGTGGTCGCGCAAATCCCGCAACTGCATGACGTTGCATCCCCACAATTAGGTAATCATGATGAAGGTAATTTATATAATTTGTATATACCTGATTTAGGAAGTTTGTATTAAGATGTTTTAAAGGTACATATGCATGCGACGATGTTGTTATTCCTTTTTGGGAAGAAATTCCGCATTATTCGTATATTGATTGGAGTTATCGGAGCGAACAAGAATCATGCACTGATGGTACGATTTCAGGGTCAGGATCAATACAAGGTCCATGGCAACTGGGTGACAAGTTATTTGTGAACCAAGAATTTGCAACAAAAAAAGAGGTCCAAATGGCACTGAAGCACAACCTCATTAGGGAGCATCAAGAAGCAATTGTAATTGAGAGCACACCTGCAAAGTTAAGCATGAAATGTTGCGCGTATGATAAAGGTTGACCGTGGCGCATTAGGGCGATCAAACAAGTGTTTGGTGAAAATTGGAAGATTACGAGATGGGGTGGTGATCACAATTGTTTGAATGACCACATTTCTCAGGGTCATAGACAGCTCAATGCTGACGTCATTGCAAACCTCGTTCTAGGTACGTATTTTGTTTTAATGAGATATCAATTGTCAGAGTTGTTTGTGTAATTAAATTCGTTCTACGTAATGTGACCGTAATCTCTTCATTGGCAGGGATGATAAGGGAAGAACCATCTGTCTCAATTTCTTTGGTTCAGGAAAGGATAACCTCTAAATATGGCTTTAAAGTTTTGTACATAAAGGCATGGTATGCGAAGCAGAAAGCGATGGCAATTATGTACGGTGATTGGGAGGAATCGTAAGTTTTTTTGCCAAGATGGTGTGAATACATGCTTCACTTTTCTCCAGGTTCATTTTATCATATTCAAACAAATGATTTTTATGTGGAACAAGGCTTAGTTCCTAGGAAAAAGGTGTTTCTTCGCATATTTTGGACGTTTAGACAGTGTTGTGAGGCGTTCGAGTTTGCCAAACCAGTCATACAGATTGATGGCACGCATTTATATGGGAAGTACAAAGGCAAATTATTGGTGGCCACATCCCAAGATGGAAATGATGAATGTTTACCTAATGCTTTTGCCATCGTTGAAGGTGAAACCTTGGAAGCCTGGGACTATTTCCTTGTTAATATACGTGCTCATGTTACTGAGATGTCAAACATATGCCTCATCTCCGATCGTCATCGTAGCATAATATCTGCTGTGGAGAATAACCGTAATTGGTTGCCACCAAATGCATATAACGTGTTTTGTATTCGTCATATTGCAAGCAACTTCAATCAAAAGTTTTGAAATGAAGACTTGAAGCGGACATTAAAGAATTTAGGTAAACTGCACTAAACTTAACTTATTTAATTGTTTCCACAATATATCTCTTATGTGTGATCCGTATATTATATAAATTGTGCAGGCTATACTCCGGCAGACTTTGAAAGAGGTCTTGCCAGATTCCGGGAAACTAGTCCTCAGATTGTTGAGTGGATTGATGTCATCCCTAAAGAAAAGTGGTCGCGTGCATACGATGTTGAAGGACGTAGGTACGAGCATATGACAACAAACTTGGCGGAATCTGTTAACAGTGAGTTGAAAGGGGCTAGAAATATGCCCATAACTGCTTTGGTTAAGCACACATACAGCAGATTGGTTCATTATTTTGTTACAAGAGGTACATCTGCTGCTGCACAACTTCAATCTGCTCATTGTCATTGAAAAAATGTTGTTGAATTGGTCAAGAAGAATGAAGTACTAGCAACAAGCCACCATGTCCGTGCATATAACGTGGAACATACAGTTTTTGAGGTTGACGCAGGTTGGGATCGTTCGTATTCTGTCAATCTCCCACAGAGGTTCAGTCAATGTGGGAATTTTAAGGCTTTTAAATACCCGTGTAGTCACGCCGCTGCTGCTGCTTTAAGTGTGTGACAGAATCCTTTCCAGTACGTGGATGATGTTTTCTTGACAACTAACTTGGTCGAGGCTTATTTGTATCCGTGGCAGCCAATTGGTAATGAGGAAGCAATACCACCAAGTACAGGTCCACAACTTATTCCTGACTCCACTATGTTGCGTGCAAAAGGCCGTCCAAAGTCCACTCGCATCCGTAATGAGATGGATGAAGTTGAGACAAGTCAAAGCTGTATCAGGTGTGGAATTTGCAAGGAACGCGACCATAATCGCAGAGCATATCCAAATCGTGGAGCAAACAATTGATTAAATAATCCTGGGACTACGATCATAATCTGAATAGCTTGTTTCACATTGATGTTATTTTGTATTATTTCCTTGTTATGTATTTTTTTTTGCTCAAATCTGTTTGTGAACTGATTAGTTTTCGTTAAAGGCATGCATTATGTAGACGTTCATAACAAATAGACAAAGATAATTAATCCCATAAAATAATATGTACAGTCCACAACGTAACAAAATACAGTCCAAATTATACAAAAAACCACGTAATTAAACTAAGTCAGAAAATGAAATAACAAATACGCCATCAGTAAAACTACGATCACGGGGGCCATGGCCTATGACGTGCATCCCGATCTGGCTGAATACGTCTGTCCCATGCAGGGTCGCCATAAGGTGCCGCTGGTGGTGGAGTGTGGTAATCATCCATCGCCTCCTGAACGAAATCATTCGCGGCTGTGTGTGCACTCAAATCTGGAGACTGTTGTGAATGATGTGAGTATCCATAGCTAGATGTACTGGCCTGCATGTCGGATGGCGTGACGCCCTGCATCTAGCTATCCGTGGCCTCAGTCTCCTCACTTTCGTGGCTATCTGGGATAAGGCCTAGGGCTGACCACATGTAATGTGTATCCTCCTGAGTCCACTTCGGCACGTCAGCATCAAGACCTTGTGAGTACGGCTGCTCACCCCCAGCCATAGCCGTGGGACTGGCCTGAAAAACTGGCTCCTAGGAATCCATGTATGGATGCTGAGACGGGGGCTGGCTAGGACCTTCTGGATACTGGGATCCATGATGATAATGGACAACTCATGCGGCTTAAACCTTGTGACCGTATTAAACCTGTCATGAGAAACATACATCATCATTAAGCAAATATACAGTTAGTTATTACATAAATCATTAGCGAATGTAATTGAATTTAATAAAGCATACGGCATCCATAATGCATCCCAGGTTCAAGATGAGGAGGAAGGGGTGGAGCAATGGGTGGGAATCGAATCCATGCCCAAATCTGTAGAAGAATTTGGCAACCACCCATATCAGATCGACCAGCATCTGTACACTCGCACATATTCCTGAAAAAGTGTGCCAGAACCGCAGATCCCTAGCTGAAACGGCCGATCTCATCAAATCCTCCCCCAAGCAACGGGACTAGCCGACAACCGATGTTGCTACCTCCAGACTTGTCCGCTAGTAACCAACACCCTAGCATGCGGGCAATGTGCGCCTTTGTGAAATAGATCTCTCGATCATGATCCCCAGTTGCATCAGTCCACCGGGTATATAAACGATCTAAGAATGAGATGCGGAGCTCACCTGATCCATGAAACTCACTGGCCAGTGGCTCCGCACCAAAAATGGCAGCACAAACAGCAGGCCAATCCTAAGATGTAGATCCGGTAACGACAAGGCCGTCAGTAGGCAATCCAAGGATGCCGGCCACATCCTGTAAGGTGATAGTCATCTCACCCTGGGTCATGTGGAAAGTATGTGTCTCTGGTCTCCACCTCTTGACCAGAGCACTAATCAATGGGGCATCAATCTAAGATAAATTATACAATTACCACATGTTAACAAATCGTATTAAATAATCACATAAATACATACGTCGAAAATTGCATACCTGGATATGTCGCAAACGTGCAACATGTATAAATCCAGCCTGTGTAAGGTAGTCAATGACAACCTCTGGCATATTGCCGGTAGGTGGGGCCCCCTGTGGTTTCCCACACCTGGTTTTCAACTTTCGCACATGTTATGTATTCCACACTCGCTGTGAAATATGAGCACTCTGCATCCTCTTACGAAGGACCTCTCATCTATACGGCCCAAGGATGATGTACATGGTAGGATCGGTAGGCTCTGGATCCGATGCAGATCCCGCAGATGATGATGAATCACCAATGAGAAAAAACTATATAATATAAAACAACATTGAAATTAATCACATGTAACAGCAAATTTTATGTACAAATTAATTAAGCTATGCCCTAATTTATTATCCAAAAATATTAAGTATAAACCCTACGTATTTACTTCAATCGTAATTAATGACATAATATTAATATGTAGTACACTAATTTATTTGTAATTAAATAACAATGAAACCACGAACACTAATTAAATCGTAATGACATAATACTTAACTCTAAGTCACTAATAATTTCATAATTATATACTAATAATAACTCCTAAGTCTCTAAAAAGTTCTCAATACACTACCGCATTCATGACATCATACAAAAATTACAAAGTCATTATCACTATTTTCTAAATCACTAATATACGCTAAACCTTAATGCATAATGAAATAATAATAATAATAGCTACGTAACAAAAAAATTACTAAGTCATTACAACATTCATAGCATGGTAAAAAATTCCTAAGTCACTATCATTATTTTCTAAGTCTCTAATATACGATAAATACTAACATATTCGTAACGTAGCACTGTAATTTAAACTTATACTTAGCAGGTAGTAGGAACTTACCTAAGTTGGCAGAGCTTCACTACGAAAATTTCACCGTTCCCTTGAGAGAACAATTTGGTTAGAGAGAGGTTAGAGTGAGAGTGAAATGGTAAAAATGAGAAAATGAGAGCTTTTATAGGGCTGATGGGTGACGCCCCTTTCGGGTGTCACATGTCACGCCTGGTTTGGGAGTGACCCACCAGGACGTGACACCCCTTTTCTGCGTGATATGTGACGTCCAGGAGGGGCGTGACATTGTACAATAAATATGTAATTTTTTTTTTGAAAAGTATAATAAATGCGTAATTTTTTTATTAAAAAGTATTAAATTAATTTTTTTGCCGCTTTTACGGAGATAAATGGATCTGGTTGGACATAAATTAATTGAGACACTTTGTGAACACCTAATTTGTTCTAAATAATTAAAAATGACAAAAAAATAATCTAAATTGTGAACCTCTATTTTATTAAAAAATTAATTTTTTTTTTTAAAAGAGAGTATTTGTTTTTTTATAATTTCCAATCAGCTAATATTTAAAAAAAAAAAAAAAAAAAAGATGCCAAAGTTTCCACAGGACAACGTACGCATGCAAAGTCCAAGACATGATTGAGGTAAGTAGACAGAAGGAAGAAAAAAATGGAAGGAAGGGAAGCTGAGAAGTATTCACAAGAAGGGAAACTTGATAATAACAAATTGTATCTCTGGACGGACTACATTGGGGACCTCAAAGTTCTGGCCATAAAATGAAACCAAGGTTAGATTAGATCACTGGCGGACCTACATTACGAAACTGGTGGAGTTAGGAGGAGGAAGAGGTGGTTGAAACTGAAGAGTGAAAATAAATAGAACCACTCTTCGCTCTTCCAAGAGGTCTCGTAGGAACAAGTTCTCCTCTGTAACTTGCCAATTCAACAGGGGCTTGATTTCCTCTCTCTAATTATCGCAGGCAGAGGCGTCTCAACCGAGTCACTCATTCAGGTAATTTTTTGTTTGGTGATTGTTGAGAGATTGTAAAATTGTGCCCTTTATTGGCTATATTTCTTCCTTTTTTTTTCTTCCTTCACTAGTTGGTTGTCAAATCTGGGTTCTACCTTTCTGGCGAAACAGGATGTGTTTTTCTGAGTTGTTCACTTAAAGCTTCTGCTTTAAATTTTAATCTTTGTCTTTGGTTTGTTTGTTGTTTATTACGTGGGGTTGTTCGTTTGCTCGATTCTGGTTTAATTTTGAGGGTTGTTTTACCTGCTCTATTGCTTCATTTGTTTAAGTAATTGATATTATTAGTACGAACAAGAACGGTAAATGGGAACCCTGTTAGATCGAGGTGGAATATGGTGGTTAAACGCCATAAGAGACTAGCTATCTGTGAGAGTTTGTGTGCATCGGCTTTGGATATATTTTTATTTTATTTTAAGTCTCAAGTTTTGTTATGAAACTATTATTTTTTATCTTATTTACTTAAAAAAATACTATATTCATCTAAATTTATATCATACTTTTTGGGATGGAAAAAAAAAAAAACCATAAAAGTTTTTTCTTACATTTAAATAAGAAACCATAAAAGGGATTAATGAAATGTAAAAGTTTTTATTTTATTTTTTATTTTTTAATGTATTTAAAATTTTCTTAAAAAAAAAAAAAGTATGCTCTGTTAAGTCATTCTCTCCCTCTTATTACATTTACAGCCTATCACCATAGTTAGGGCTGGTACTCAGCAACATAAATTTTTTTTCTCAATGTATGTTCTCATAATATTGATAGATATATTTTTTTTGTTAGTATAGCATTTCCATCTTCTTAATTATTTTTTAAAATATCTTCCTTCCCTATGGTGGAGGGTTAGACCCGCTGTTATTCCTATGTTCCAGATGGTCCTTTTTTAGTCCTTTTCTCCTTCATTTCCCCCACTTCTTCTTGTCCCTTTTTTTTTACTTTTATTTATTTATATATACATATATTTTTATTTTTTTTATTTTTATTTTTTATTTTTTATTTTATTTTTTTTCAACCGTTTTGTATCTTTCATGTGGGTTCATCTACCACCGACCCCAATTAATTTGGGATAAAGGTGTTGTTGATGTTGATGTTGATGTTGATCTTCCTTCCCTATGCCACACTCTTCATGAATTAGGACTCCATTATACATCTGAACCAGTGACAGTTCTGGAATTTAAAGTTTTGCTTGCATGCCAAGTTTTTTGAAGTGGATCTTTCACTTCATCTCTTTCTTTGATGACATAACCTTGTTGATTTTTAAGAACTTTACTACATGACAGATTTGTTCTAGACTTAAAACTACTATAATTCTATAATGTGTTCTGGCTCAGCAGAGGAGTCTTTGGAATAGGGTAGCAATGAACTTAGAATTGGCGTTAAGGAGCTTCTAAGTAACATGTTGTATAGTTCTCAGAGACAATGACAAAATCAAGGAGTTAGGGGTAATAATTAACGTTAAAGAACAGTTCCTAAATAAAATGCTTGAAGGAAAGATAAGCACAGGAAAAAGAATCACAGTACTTGTCGAAAGCATTGAAATTAAAAAACACATGA